GTTTATCAGTTTCTAGAGTAACACTCTATTAATAAACACAATGCGTCAATGGTTTGTTTGATCGTTAATGTAAATGTAATTAATATAAAATATAATGAATAATACAGAAAGAAACATTTACCTTTACATTTTTCTAAAAAAATTATCTTGCCCGTAACGAAATCTGTCAAATGATTACCTCATTGAAAAGTGCGCCGCAGAAAAAGCCGTCATAAATCTGACTCCTGCTTGGAACAGACAATCCCCCTCCCCCCTCTGGCAATAAAACAAGTTGCCGAATTCGAGGAATACCACGTGTCTTGCCCCCTTTTTGATAACCCATAACAATAATAATAATAATGGATGGCGTTTGTTAGGACAAATATCAGTTTGTCCCAGCCGGATATAACGCAAAAACTGACGGAGCGCATAGATAACTTGAAGCAATGAATCGCTGCTTAGGGGAAGCGGATTCGGCGATATACCGAGAGGTCGACACGGTTCAACCAGAATCGTCTCTTCCAGAGTGATCAGAAGAGGCTCTATGAATCATTGGAGCGACCAATGGAACGTGGAACCGGCCCAGCACCGAATCAGGCCAACACTATCGCACTCTGGCGCGGCCTGTGATCAGAGCCCGTAAACCACAGCGAGGGCCCTTGGACGGAAGTTGTGGCGAGTCAGTGTGCGAATGTTACGCCCATGGACCCAGTCATCATAACGCCGGATGACGTAGCTAAGGCGGGCCCGTAGGGCCCCGAACTGGAAAAGTCCGGGGCTCGACGGGCTGCATCACTACTGGCTGAAGGGGTTCGTGGTGTGTCACGCTGTGCTCGCCCGACAGTTTCAAGCGGCTCTCGACCAAAAGTCGCTTCCGAGCCCCTTCACTACTGGGATCATTCATTTGGTTCCTAAAGACCGGGATTCCACAGACCCGAGCAAATACCGCCCCATTACGTGTCTACTCACCATATATAAGACACTGACATCCATTTTGAGTACGCGAATCATTCGTCACCTGGATTTAAATCAGGTGATGTCGCGTGCTCAATGTGGATGCCGGGGCGGTGGTCGTGGAACCAAGGAACCACTCCTCATTGACGCGGTCATTGGCAAAGTGGTTAAACGACTATAGAAAGGCATTCGACTCGGTGCCCCATACATGGCTAAAGAGGATCTTCGAGCTGTACAAGGTTGACTGTACAGTTAGAGACTTTCTCGGGCAGTGTATAGGGCAGTGGAGTACAATCCTTTGTCATCTAAGCGAGCGGATGACGGATGCGGAAAGCCGCATAAGGATAAGAAGGGGTATCTTCCAGGAAGATCGTTTGAGTCCAATCTGTTTTTGCTTCCCCTAAACCCTCTCAATACCTTACTGGAGGACTCCGGGAGGGGATTTCAGCTTCGGAAAGAAGGGACAAAAGTGACCCACCTTTTCTATATGGATGATCTCAAATTATTCGCCTCCAGTCGCTCCCATCTTATGGAACTGCTAAACATCACTTGTGATTTTAGTAATTCTATTAGAATGGAGCTGGGGACGGATAAGTGTGCGGTCCTCCATGTTGAAAGGGGAAGGGTTGCTAGCTCTGAAGGTATAGACTTACCTATGGCCATCAACATAAGGACCCTTTCTGAGGCTAAAACATACCGATACCTGGGTATGTTCAGAACATCGGTGTAGATGAGGCGGGTATGAAACGGTCAGTTTGCGATGTGTATTATGCACGCTTGACCAAAGTGCTTAACAGCCTTTTGTGCGGTGTGAATAAGACGCACGCATATAACGGTTGGATCATGCCTGTTCTCATGTATACCTTTGGCATACTCAGGTGGACTCAGACCGAACTGAACGCTCTGGATAGAAAAGTCCGCACTATTATGACGTCCCACAGGATGCGTCATCCGAGATCGTCAGTAATGAGGCAGTAATTGCCGCGGAAGCATGGTGGACACGGCTTTTTAAGCACGCTTACCATGCATAATCGCGAAGTGTGCAGCCTCCGTAATTACTTTCTGACAAGAGCGGATGATCCATACTATAGGGACGTTATTTCTTGTGATAAAGGGCTAAACCCTCTATCCTTAGCCAACGAGCAATGGCAAGACCCGGCAGTACAGAACATTTCCGACCGGGAGACCGTATGGAAGGAGAAGGAGCTCCACGGGAGGTTCTACAAGGCTCTTCATGAGCCTTTCGTAGACACAGTCACCTCCCTCCACTGGCTACGTTTCGGTGACCTCTTTGGGGAAACCGAGGGTTTTGCCTGTGCAATACAGGATCGGTTATTAAGACATCTGTCGAGCTTGTTGCCATCCCGGTGAGTCACTTAGTCATGTCATCTCCGGTTGTTCAGCGCTTCCTAACTCTGTGTATTTGCACAGACACAACCTAGTAGCCAGGATTCTACACCAGGAGCTCGCTCTGAAATACGGTCTCGTGGATCGGAAACTGCCATATTATGAGTACTTGCCGGAAGCCGTGCTCGAAAATGACCGCGCCAGGCTCTATTGGGACCGGGCCATCATCACAGACAGGACTATTCTTGCGAATAAGCCTGATATTGTGCTGATGGACCGGGCACAGTCAAGGATATTTTCGGTCGACATTACCATTCCTTATGACGAGAACCTCGTGAAAGCCGAAACAGATAAGCTGACAAAATATCTGGACCTGGCTCACGAAGTGACCGACATGTGGGGTGGACTGCCGGCCGAAATTATACCTGTAGTCGTCTCTGCGAATGGGTTAATTCCAGTCAGCCTCTCGGGTCATCTGAGGCGACTGGGACTCCGTGATGGACCGCTCCAAGCTCAAATGCAGAAGGCGGTGCTCCTCGATACCACCCGCATCGTCCGCCGGTTTCTTTCCCTTTCCCCCTAACCCTCGGCCGTTTGGTCTTCCCTGCCGAGGGCTTCCATCTGGTTGGGATTCTATATATTTATGTATTTATTCTATTTTATTGATATTTATGTATGTTTATATCTTTCGTTTAAAATTATATATTTAAACAGTCCAACCAGATGAGAAAACTTTATAGATAACCCAAATAATAATAATAATAAAGTCCCACAATTTTCTCATTCAAAAATGCAAGCAGACATTTTGTCGTTTTTGAAATAACGCAACGTTTTGATAATATGTTAATTTATTCGATAATACTCCATAAGTTGGCTAGTCAGCACCGTTGACGGCAGGCAGCCAGTCAGTAAGTTCTTTTAAAGGCTATAATGGATAGATATATTATATAAACATAGATATATAGCCTATAAAAGCCCACTGCTGAATATATATTCCGATTTCGTTAAATTCCAATGACCCAAATATATCCGGCCAGTCACACACAAACACTACACACACGCCTAGTTTCACAAACACACTTAGGAAAACGGATGGGGTGCAACGTGCCCGTAGACGGGTTGAATGGGTCGGCTCGACCTGGAAAGGATCACGCTCTCGCAGAATACTCTCATAGAATGGTGAGTGTAGAGAACCGGAGACCCTTTTTTACTGGAAAAGAGGCATTCTATCTTAGTCCTCACGGCTGACAACACATCTGCATTTTAATTCGCAAACAGAGATGTACTCGTAGATGTCTATATGTATGGGCCACGTACCATCAAGTGGACTGTGTGCTTGTTTCTCACCCTTATACTATTAAAAAAAACCCGCACACCCCTACACACTGCTTACACATCGTACAAAATGAGTTAGCCTTCAGAGCCGGGGCCGCCATCCCTTTTCGGATGGCGGTTAGATAACTCATCTAGAAAACCAAAATTGTCATAGGTGAAAAACGTTACATCACATCACATACATCACCATAATTACTTTCACATCACTATTCAGGTTTTTACTTACATACGTTATATTTTATTTTCATAAATAAAATTACATTATGATGCTAACAATAATATATTTATTCCTTAAAATTTTTCTTTATAGGATTCTTAATGATTTTTTCACAAAGTTATAAATTGCCCGTACCCTGGCCCTTTTTGCAAAAAAAAAATTAAATGTGGTTTCATTTTCAGTCATGTTACTCCATAACAAAAATAACTAAAATAAAACAATCTGGCAGTTTTAACATTGGTAGGACTTGTAATTTTTCTTACAGCATATACCTACTGTAGGCTGCAGAACTACGTCTGCTTGCTAATTTAGATTCGCGCACTATATATATATATATATATATATATATATATATATATATATATATATATATATATATATAGGCCAGTGGCTTCGCGTCAATAGCTTAATAGTAATTCCAAAAAAAAAAACTGTAGTATCTACAAGACTGAACACCTCCCCATTGTAGAGTACATTGGTATTCGAATGTTTAACATTAAATTAGTATTGTAATGTGTTCAGCAGTAGATTTGTGAAGAGCTGTGATGATGATGATAATAAAGATAAAGAATTATTTATGAAAGCGATTATGTATTCCGAATGGAAACATTCATAGCGCGCATTACTCCTACTAGCGTGCTTCTTGACACCTTGAGAGTTTTGGCGGAAACTTGACCGGCGGCGGTTTGCTGCTCCTCTATTATATGTTTAAATAATGGTTTGAAGTGGATTTTGATGTGTAAAAGTGGTACGATTTTGTGTATTAAGTGTCTGCGCATGTGTACTATTAGTAGAAACGGTGAAACAAGTGCTCTGATGGTGATGTGATCCTCAAGATCAGGTGTCTGTCTGCTTAAGCGCCTTGAGACACCATCGCCAACTGTCAGCTGTCTGCTGGCTCAAGTTGCCGTCAAAATCTCCCAAGGGCTGCATCAACATATTGTAAAGCAGTGTACTATGAAGGATAATTAAACATTGTAACTTCAGGCTCAGAAAGGCTAGAACCCTGAGCCGTTAGAGTTAGTTATAAAAAATGACACCTTGACATCTTGACAGTGACAATGATATACAGATTGACACTGACAGCATGGAATTTGCGGTGGTGTTGTTGAATTCTGTTTTGAATTTGAATTGAATTGGAGTACCGAAAAGTAGAAAACAGTGAAAAATGTCTTTTACAAAAGCAGAGAAAGATCTCCATTTGCCTTTATCTCGAGTTAAAACTATTATGAAAAGTTCTCCAGAAGTTGACGCAGTGGGGCCTGAACCTTTATATTTAGTCACAAAAGTAACAGTAAGTTCCTAATAAACTGTCTTACAGTCAGAAGTTTTATATATAAATATATTAAAGAAAAATTAAATACTAGGGAACAATAGTGCCAAAATCATAACTAATGTATTAAAATTTTAAATTGCAGGAATTGTTTGTTATAGACTTAGCCAAAAGAGCGTACAAAAATACTAAAGGCAATATGTTGGAGTACAAACATATCGCGGAAGTAGTACAAGAAGATGACACATTAGATTTTCTGCGAGAAATAATGCCAAGGAAGATAACAGTAAGGCAGTATAAAGAACTAATGGCCCGAAAAGCAGCAAGAGGTGATCGATCTGATGATGAGTCTAGTGAGGAGTCAAGTGAAGGAGAGAGCAGTGAGGAAAGTTCAAGTGGTGTTGAAATTATAGAGTGATGTAATATATTGGAAGAGAGAAATAAAATTAAAAAAAACCTACAGTCTGTACAGATAAAGAATGGGATTAGAAATGGTGGCTCATCGAGCCCATACAAAATTAATGTATCAATATTTCTATTTTTATAAAATTTCGAAATGTTTTGGATAAATATTAGTTTAGATCACTCCTGGTATTACTCTCTATTTGTTCGTAAAGTTTTATTAGAATCCGTTCAGCAATTTCAAAGATTAGTTCGGACAGACAATTGAAAATTTAAAAAAATGTACAACAAAAAATCAACAATAATTATAAAGAAAACTCTCAGAATGTGTTGTAGTTCACAAATTATTGAAATCGAACTAAGTTTTTTGTAGTCTATGGTATTTTGTTATAATTGATATTATGATTGATATCAATGACAAGGACTCAAGTAATAGAACATACATAAAACGAATATCGCATAGTTTTTTTTGCAATCTTTACCGGTTGGTGTGTGTATAGATAGTGACAGTATGAGAGATAGAGGTGAAGCCATTTTCAATCTCATTCTTTAACCGCACGGGTAATATGAAGTATTGAACAAGTTAACAACTGTCTATCATAATCTGAAAGGTTTCATCGTTAGTTATTTTTTTTAAATTGAATTATGCAACATTTAATTTATAATGTTATTGTATATTTTTACAGCATATTATTTGGAAATTAGTAATGTCGATGAATTAGTCCATTTGTATCTAATTTTTCTTTTATTTTGATTAATTCTGAAATGATTACGTGTGGTTTTAAATTAACATTTTGTGTTATCAGGATTTTATGTAGTTACCGCAGTGGTGTGCACTGTCATTACCATTATTATTGCAAAATCCATATTGTTAAAGCCCACTTTTCACTATGGGATATATTGTAATATATATTACATCTCGAGATATAAATTAAAATCGCTCACCATACATTTTATATGAAACCGTTTACACTTAGCTATAATATATATTACATCTCAAGCTATAAATATTTTTTCGATTGACCGAGCGATATTTTCATATTATATTTCGCCCCCTGTACCCCGCACATCGTTCAGCGCCCCCGCAGAACGGTGTACGGGCTAAAGAGGGGTAATCCAATGACCAATGACGAACGCACATTGGTTAAAAGATATATCTCACAGTGTGAAAGCCAATCGCGGGATATAATTTATATTTCGGGATATAATATATATTATATCCCATAGTGAAAAGCCAGCCTAAATATGAAACCTTTTTGAGACTTCAAAACTAAATGCATGTAGAAAACTTTGTTAGTTTTGTGCATATGATAAGCATAAATATTAAAAAAATCGGTTTTATACACCCCTTTTGCTGTTTTTACTTTAAGTTTGAAAACACATTCCACAAGTTCCATGTTTGGATTTGGTTGTTTCCAGTTGCATCAACTAAAGCTAATGTTATTTCTAATTAAAAGTCTGTTGTTTTAAGTTTTTGTACATCTTGTACTATAATACTATTTCATTGTTAGTATAATCCCATTAACTTTGAAGCCAAAGCCTTTGCATAATGTATGAAAAGTAAATCTTTTGACTTATGTTGTATCTATTTACATAATAAATTTTGAAAACCTGACACAATTGGTGTAGGATTTGCTTTTACTCACTCACTCACTATAGCCTATTACAAGCCCACTGAGTGTAAGCCTCTCTCATAGATTGCCATAAAATATGGTCCTATCTACCTGCTTCAATCAACTACCTGCATGTGTCATCAGAATGTCGCTCCATATACTAGGGGATCGGCTAAATCTGTGCTTCACAGTATGAGGCTACTACTTGAAAACCTATCTTTCCAATTGGTGGTCAGTTCATTGAGCTATATTGTCATTTCGAACTACTAAAGAAGAGTTTGCCTATACTATTTTTAAAACCACACAATGAATTACCATCATGTTTAGAGTTATAGGAAAGCAAATATGGGGACCAAGATATTTAGCAATATATGTGGCCTCAGGACATACCAGTAGAATATGAGCCACCATTTCTTTCCTCGTCCTTGTACTGCACAGGGGACTATTTTTAACACCAAGGGTACAAATCTGAGTGTAGGCGCTCGTGTATATATTCTCTTCTTTGGTGATTGCCTAAGCTAGCTTGGTACCAAAGAATTTTTAATTGCAATTAAAAGGGCTGGTTTATCACATGCTTTAGTGAAGCAAAACTTGGTAGGAATGCTTCATGGCTGAGGAATTAAAATAATTTGAGGACATGTCTGCTTATATAACAATAGTGTCCTGCAGACCAAATTTCAATCATGGTGGCAAGTTTCAACAAAGACTAGCCTTTTGCGTATTGCATTACAGGATTATAGTAAGACCTGGGATTCGAACACCACAATCATATGATAAGTAGTTGTGTTTGCTTAATATTTAATATTCTATGAATATAAATTTAAAGATACTGGTGTTAAGGAAATAGTCATGTCATGCCTATTAAAGTACACTACTGAACTGGGCTCGCTCATAGAGTACCTCATAGGCCCATAATGAGGGCATCCACGACTTTTAGTGCCACCAGGGCGGCGCCATTAGAAAGTGAGGTATGAACAGATTTCATAGTGGGGATGTTAATTTGGTCGAATGTAAAAGTTATCGTTTCCTTCTGCACTATTAGCTATATTTTAAATTAATAACATTAAAAATAAATAAACCAAACCACATATTCATAAAAGTAGAAAGATTAAAAAAAAGTTAAAATTGTGCAAAAAATTAAAGAGCAAACCACTGATGCATAGCTTTGTGTATTAATATAATACTCTAGAAATTGATAAACTTTTATTAAAAAACAAACTCAATTAAATTACATTGTGTAACAAACAACTTTACCTCAGTGTCAATTAGCGACATCTGGTGAGCAGAAAATTATTAGCCCTCATTGCCACACTTTAGAAGCGGGTTGGCAACCGCAGTTTCTTATTTTTAGTCTATTAGGACAACGCTGCTGCCTATCTGATTTGTTTCCCTCTGCCGCCTCTTACGACACTCACGGGATGATATGGGATAGTGACTATTCTTACACCGCCACTTCACGTTTAATGTAATAGTCATGCATTTGTTAATAATCATAATTTAATTTATCATACATACATCATTTGTGTACTTTCGGAGTATTCAAAGTAGTCCGTAATATCCTCGCTATTGCAGTACTTTACCTATAATATAGGTACACCCGAAACCACGGAGTAAATACAAAGTTTGTATTTGCTCCGTGCCATAAATAAACAACGTGCCCGAAACTCAGTATCAATAAGGTTGTAGATTGATGAATTCTTTTATTATGATGACACTTTTTTCATTTAGGTAGGTATACTACGAAAAAGGTACTATAGAACCTTTGATTAAATATAATCAAAGTATAGAATAATGTGAAATTAAATAATAACAGAGCCATCTATATGTCCACTTTGTTTTGTTTGTTTATTGTAGTCGATAAAAAAAATCTACCATAGATATCATAGATGTCGCTAGATACCTCGAATTTCTTACATTATCTCACCAATGCTCAAACTCAACATTGATAAAGTAAAGGTGATACCTACAAATAAATACCGAAATGTATAAATGGTAATGCGCTTATGACGTAGACCTTCTACGGGCACAACATCCATCCATGTCTTATTATCTATATTATGATTGCCTCGTTTGTCTAGTGGCCGTAAATGCGATTGCATGAGGTCCTGGGTTCGAATCCCGGGTAGGGCCAAAATCAGTTTTTAGGATTTTCTGTTAAGAAATTCTCAGTGTCAGCTTATACTATTATCTATTCTGTGGTGGGAGTGGCAGCCCGGAGTCAGGAAGTTGACAGTGTTTCACCACCAGGACCTCTGAAAGCACGTAAAGTTGTAGGTCCTGCGCCTGACCTCTCTCCGGTCTTGTCGGATTACCATCAGACTGTTCCTTTCAGTCTTGGTGGTTAATGTCACTAACCACCTTTCCGAATTTTTAAATTAAAATTCTTGCCATCTAGCGATAATCGATGGAATTATCATGAAAGTTCGAACCTTGCTTGACAAGACGCAACCGATTGGCAGTATATTGAATGAATGATAGTTCATTTGCGTTGAATAAACCAGCACTGCCACCAGGGCGGCGCTACTTAAAAGTGAGGTATAATATTTGACAGATTTCATAGCGGGGAACACAGTGGTGAAATGTAAAGGTTCATGTTTCTTTCTGTACTATTACCTATATTTTATATTAATAAGATTAAAAATAAATAAACCAAACCACAGATATTCATAAAAGTAGAAAAAGAAAGTTAAACATGTGTAAAATAATTATAGAGCAAACCACTGAGCCATTGTTTTGTGTATTGAGGCGCAGGTTGAGCAAAATGTCGCGCTAGTCGTTATTTGGGCGGTTTTTAGAAGCTATCTACTTTTTATTTAAAAGATATATCAACAAATAAAAAACACATTATATTTCTACATAATCTTGATTCCATAAAAGCTATATCTAATTTTTTTTTAAAGGAATAAATATTAATATAATCTCCTTACAACGAAACCACATAAATGTGAAATTATTATTGATAACATGCATCTCCTCGTAAAGTAAGTATTATTTTATTTTGCGATTTACACCAATGGATAGGCAATTTATTAATGAACATTTCTATAGTAAATTTTTTTTTCAAAAGACCAATATTTGATTTTATTAAGAAATTATTTTAAAATCTGGGCATATTTACTGCTCACGGGCTTGCTGAAGTCAGTGGAGATGGGCAAAGTGTATCATTTTTGGGATTGGAACATTTGCATCTTGATCACTGAAATGTTCCGAAACACTGATATGTTTCATTTGGCTCATTTGTATCATCGACTCAAAAGATATAAAAGAAAGAATGTTCCGAATACATTAAATTGCGTCGCGGGCGTTTATTACTCACTGATCCATGAAATGTTATATGGCAACAATGCTGAATAATATAAGTGCTTAGATTATTTATTGTGTACCGTAATAAGATTGTATATAA